TGGCATTTGACCATAACATTAGACTTCTTTTTTAAATATTTTTTTTTACTGTATTTAAATCAGTAAAAACTCAGTAAAAGTGATGGCATGTGCTTGAAAAAATTTACTGAGGAAACCCGTCACTGAAAGTGGACACTAGACTTACAGCAGCTCATTAACTTCTGCTGGAGACTCTTAATTAAACTGCATGTGGTGAAAACATGAGCAAATATTCAACTTTAGGTCAACAATATTACAGAGACAAACCAAGACCGTCTTCTTATTCAGATTTACAGGATGTCAACAGAAAAAGACTTAACCGACGTTATCCAACATTTAGTCGAAGCGGTTCATGTGCTGCATCTCCATAAACACTGTTTCTGTTTAGACCATGAAACAAGATGCTGAAATAAGTCCAGCAGATGGTCGGCCTTCTTTTTTTTAAATTCCAGTGTGTGTGTTGTATTTTAAACTCTTGTTGTATTATCCTCACATGGTGTCAAACCTGCATCCCACAAACGCTGTCAGCTAAACGTAGCCGAGCAGAAAGTTCAGGATTTCTCTCTGAAACGTAGCAGAGTGGAAGGAGACGGTAGCAGAGCACCAAAGTACACAAGTACAGTACAAGTACCTCAAAATGCTGCTTTGTCCAGCACTTGAGTGAACATAGGTAGTTGTTTTGGACTACTGGATTTATTTCAAACCCTTTGTAATAACAACAAGGCAGACCACATTGTTCCTTCATAATTTATTTTTACTTTATTTTTTCTTTTACTGTTAGTCCTCTCATCAGTAACACAACAAGTACCTGGTGGATAAATAATTACAGTATGTTTTCATTTTAAAATCTTAAGTTGTAAGCCTCTTATTCCAGAGCCTCTCATCGTGTTTCCCAGAAAACATTTCTCAGTTTTTAAACCAAATTATTTGAACAATTTACTGTTATTTTACAGATTGTTCCTGATTTGTTAAATTACAGATATTAACTCGTAAAATCACAGAAAATAAAGGATGAATTTATGTTCATGTTTTTTTTTTTTTTTTTTTTTTAAAAAGGCCAAAACTGTTAATGTCCACATCAAAAATCTGTATTTTTACAAACTGCAAAATGACACTATTTTTATTATATTTCAATCAGAAAAAAAATATTTTCCAGTAAGAGGGAAATGAAGGATTGCAAAATGTTTTCTTTTTTTTTTAAATTATACTAGTTAAAAAAAAAAAGAAGAAAAGTCTCAAACTAAATGTGAACATCAAAAAGCTTTACTAAAAAGAAAAAAAAATCCTTTTTATAAAATCTGACTGTAAAACTACACTTTTTTTTACTGGATTTAAATCTGCAAAAAAAAAAAAAATGTTTTTTTACAGGCCAATATTTTAAAGAAAAAATAAGTTCAAGGATTAGAAAATATTTTTTAAAACTGTTGTTTTACAGACTCCTTGTTTTGTTAAACTGCAGCAAAGTACAAGCGGAAAAAATAATAATTTACATGTTGACATCAAAACCTGTATTTTTACAAAAAGTAATTTAAAAAAAATTCTCTCTTTTTTTTTTAACAGGTTAGGGTTAGGTGACTATAATTATACTATACTATATATTTTACTGCGTTTCAAATCAGCAAAACATTTTACAGATTTCTTTTCTTTAACCATTTTTACATTTTTGGAATGTTATCGCAGTCCATTTTTAATGTATTTTTATGCACATTTTTCTGCCAGATTTTCATATTTGTTTATTAGAATTTTTTTTTTTAAAGGATTTTAAAAATATTTTTTTTGGTATACATATATTTACTGCCCTGTGATAGACTGGTGACCTGTCCAGGGTGTCCCCTGCCTTCGCCCTGAGTCAGCTGGGATAGACTCCAGCCCCCCGTGACCCTAGTGAGGATCAAGCGGTGTATAGATAATGGATGGATGGATGGATATATTTACTGGTACACCAACTCCAGAGTTATTACGCTGTACATTGCAGGCTGTAATCCAAAGTTTGCTTATCCTAAATTTTGGAGAAAAGAGTGAAAAAAAGTATTGATTTTTCACCCACATCAGCTTCTTTGTGTTTGTTTTCCTGCTCTGCTAATCGCCTCTAAGAGAGCACTTGTGAATATGACAACATCGGTACCAAGTTAACAGCAAGCAGCCTGTGTTTATCTTCAGGGGGAAAGTGTGAGGGAGTTATGAGAGCGAAGAGATGCAGCAGATGCCAGAGAGACGGCACAGAATCAGGAAGGAAGGAGGAGGTGCAGCAGAACAGTTGTTTTTCTCTCTGCATTAAAGAAAAAAGAGAAAGCCTCTCCCTCCTGTGTGCGCTGTTGTGACAGCTCAGCCTGGAGTCGACCACTCGCGCTCCAGCCCGCCGCAGATGGAGGGACGGCGGACAGGAGGGGAGGAAGGCAGCGAGAGACGGAGTGAAAATAATCCGAAGCTACAAAAGACTGGCAGTCGGGGGAAGAAGTGCAACACGGCAGAGCAGAATAGATGGAGACAGAGCCGAGGCACGGGGAGACAGAAGGGATAGCGATAGAGACATTCAGACTGGTTGACTCATTCTTACCGAGTCAGATCTCGTAAGAAGTGCGTATCGAGCTGCGCTGACGTTCTCCAGCCGCCGGTGATGAGTAACGCCACGGTTCAGGGGCTTTGCATTTTCCGTACACATGGACGGAAGCGCAGCTCGACGCTTGGCTGTGAGGGAAGTGGTTGAGCAGAGAAGTCAGCAGCAACACTGATTTGCTGCTCAAGTGTGTTTGTACCACACAGTTAAGCCCCAAAAATACTCACAGCCGTGCCAAATTTGGATTTGGAGTGAATTTCTCTTTGACCAAAAGGGTTCTTCTGGCTGGAGGTGACACAAACAAGATGGTGCAGAAGTGTGTTGGAGATTTTAATGAGGAATATTTACTAGTTCAACATTTTGACTAGAAAAACATCTCAAAAGGGATTCATTCGCCTTGAAATTGGTGCAAATGAAAATGCAGCTTCTTTCTCATTTCAGTTGTGTTCTAATGCACTATAACGGGTAGAACAGCTGATGCAGTGGTTCTCCATTTGGTTCCAAAGTGCTCATTGAGCTGCTGTTTGGGTCCATCACTGAGAGAAAGTAGCACCTTGCTGCTGCTCACAAGATGTTTAAAGCCTATGAAATCAGTGTTTTGGTGCATAACAGTTAATTTCCCTAAAGAAGGATTTAAAAAAATAAAGCGATTACTACAAATCAAACAAACAGCAGCGTAGCAGTGCAAGGAGTTATAAAAGTCAAGAAAAGCAATAGAATTATTTACAGCATGCAAATTATTCACCTGATGTTGTGTAGCATTACATAGTGTATGAGATAAGAGCTCAACAAATGTCAAAGTGTTCAGTTTGAAGCTTCATGAAGAAGTCCAAGGAGCTCCTCACTGTGGAACATGTCAAAGGGCTGCAGGAGGACAGACGTGAGCCCTGCACTGGAACAATGGTGGAGGCCAAGAAGAACCCAAGGACCAGCACCAAGAGCATCCTGATGAATGTGAGCAGTTCTGGTAGCAACATGTCAATCAGACACTCCAGCAGACCAACAACAAGGCTGGTCTCCATGGAGACAAGGAGGATCCACTTCTCCAGGACAAAGAAGAAAGCTGCTGCTCATCACTTCATCAACATGGAGATGTTTGGACACAGAGAAAGGAGAAGCATTCAAGGCCAAGAGCTAGAGATGGACACTTGGAGGAACGAAATCCCAGAAACACTGTTGGACACTAGAACTACAAAGGGGGTTTGTTGCCAAAGTGGGTCAAAACCACATTTAGTAGTTTTAGGGGGAAAATGGGGTCAAAATTTTGTGTTGCTAAAAAAATAAAAGAAAATCCTGGTTGTTGAAGGAGTCATTATATGCATCCAGAGACGTTCCAACACTGTCCAGAGATAGAAACAGCTGCTGACTTGACTTATTTAAGTTTCCATTTTGTCTTTCCTTTTGCTGAGTGCCAAAGTGGGCCGTACCACATCTTCTACTAAACTGATTCCGGGTTTGTCTTGCTAAACAGCATTGAAGAGTTTACATCATAAGGAACTAGAGATACTGTTGAGGACCGTGGGGTACAAGTAGACGCTTGGTGGTGGTTAATTAAGGTTTTATTTTTACCTCACCGTACCTAAGAGTTGAGTTTTTACAAGGCTTGAGGTCACACTGTTCACCATCTACCTGCACCCGCGACATAGCGGTCAGTGCTTCCTGTGGCTCGGCCCAGTTCGTCACAAAATTTTCATGCCAAAACCAATATGGGCCAAACTTCAGTCTTATCATGACATTACCAATGGGCTGTTGGTTGGACCGCTTTGCCACCAACAAGTAGACCATAAACACTCCCCAAAAAAAAAACATAATACTCAACTTTGGATTGTGTTTCAGCCCGTTTTGGCACTGAACCCCTCAACTGTTGGACTGATGTGAAGGAAAATAAAGATTTGGTGCTGATTACTGGTCAAAAAATGGCATTAAAACAGTTCAGATTTCAATTTAACACCTCTAACACAATGTCTTACTGTCTTTTGCTGCTTGTTTGTGTCATTTCCAACCAGAAGAAACCCATTAGTGAAGTTAAAATAAATAAAAGTCACAAAATCTGAATTTGGCATTGGGACGTGTCGTTTTGTTTTGGTATGAAATGAATGCTAGCTATTGTAGCATACAGTGTATAGAACTGAAATGTACTCGACAAAGAGGAACAAAATGCAAAACAAAACACACAGAAAACATTAAAATGTCCCATTAACGTCTCTAACGCGGCGTCTTACTGTCTTTCGCTGCTTGTTTGTGTCTTTTCCAGCCAGAAGAAACACTTTCGGTGAAACAGAAATTGACTGTAAACCAAAAATTCGCCGTGGCTATGAATAATTCAGGGCTCAACTGTATCCGATATGATAAAAATAAGTCTTTTCGCAAACTGCCTGGAGAGACACAGATGGCTGCGACTTTTTTCCCCCGTCTCCTGGTGGAGGCAGATGATGATGATGATGATAATGTGTTCTCATTACAGGCGGCCTTGGGGCAGACACAGAGGAGCGCTTGGTGGAGCATCTCCTAAACCCGGCCCACTACAACAAACTGATCCGTCCTGCGACTAATGGCTCCGAGCTGGTTACTGTGCAGCTGATGGTGTCGCTGGCTCAGCTCATCAGCGTGGTGAGTGTGCGCACATCTGGCTCCGAATCTGTGCCACTCAGTTTGGATTACACAGCGATAAAACACAAAGAGCGTATTAATTATTTGTAGAAGTCTATTTGCTGTTCTGGCTGCAAACTTAAAATCTGCTTAAATTGATTTCTTGACTCTGGAAAAATGTCATTTTTTCAAAAAAAGTTTGCTGCAGTAAAGCTCATTTTACACGTTCATACACTGTTGAGTGATTTTATGTAATGAATAAAT